AGCCAAGTCATCGACTGGAGACAAAAGGGATTATCGGGTTGTCGACCGAACCAAGACTGCTCGGCTGTTGATCGGACTGGACATAGACAGTCGCGTCGTTGATTGGACAAGATAGGGACCACCAGGTCATTGATCGGACTGGAATTAACACCAGAGTGAGGCGGGACACACTACAACATCCCGTTTTCAAATTTAGAAAACTATTAAAACTAAGTAACTAACTTCTCCACTTCATTAAGGATAATAGAGACATATCTCATTTTTTGGTTTTGAAAAACGATTTGGTAAACACATTTTTCTATTTTCTTTTCTCCAGTTTCTCAGCAATTTTTTCTAGTAAATACGTTTTCTGTTTTCTTTTTTTCCAGTTTTCTGAAAAACTGAAAAATATCTCTATTAATAGACTGACACTTATTTTTTGAACATGCAAATAAGGAAAATAAAATGTTGTTTTTGGGATGGATGTTATATTATACGAACTATTAATGTTGATGACATCGATTTGTTTCGTTTGATAAAATATGAGTTATTGGTAAAAAGGACTGCATACTCCCGACATTGGAAATATACTCAATTCTTAATGAGAAGCTTATTTTTGGAACATGAAAATAAAAATAAGAAAAAAGAGAAGTTAGTTTATGGAATGAGAGTAGTATATATATACAGGGGCGGAGCCAGGACACTGGGCCGAACTGGGCCGATACAAAGAATATTTTTGGAAAAAAATTCAAACGGAATTTTTTACACTAAAAATAAAGATATTTTTAAAATTTAGGCTGGGCCAGGGCCAAGGGTGGCCACCCCCTAGCTCCGCCCCTGTATATATACGTTGTATTTTTTTGATCGTATATATACGTTGTATTATACTACGTATAAATGTTGTTAGTTGCAGGGCCGGTCCTGTGACTCCTGTCGATTTTCGGGCCTATGGGCGAGATATTATTTGGGCCTATGTTCAAGACAAAAACTAATCTCTAAAAATCGATCAATGAAACATGTCCCACCAAAAGTTATTCTCTTCACTTAAATCACAATTATCTGGCTCAATTTCACTATTTGCGACTTTTGCACCTATATCACTATTTCCAAGCATGTTATGGTTTTCATTCACAAAAGAATTTAGCGGCGATTCAACTTGAGAAGAATTTTCGGGATTCAATTTCTTAACAAAAACAAAATTTTCCATTGCCCCCGTCTTACTTAAGGCTGCATTTTCTAATCTTTGTCTCTTTTTCTCTTTTTCCCAACCATTCACCCATTTTATCAAACACTTTCACAATAGTAAAACGAAATAAAGGAATTCAATTCAAAATTGCACAATACCAAACAAATATGAATTTACCAAGACACCAAAAATGCATCATATAGAAATCATTATTCATAATTCATAAATCAAAAGAACATTTAGTGGATTTATTATTCATAGCTAATAGATTGGGAATAATTTACTGGCCGTTGTCGGATTGTTTGAAGCCTTGACAGAAGAAGGTGTTCTAGTCGCCGGCCGCTATTTGGGCTCCTCACCGCTGACCGCTTTGGCTAATGGCGATTTGCAGGCTTGCAACGCTCTCTAATGTCTACTCTTGTGCAAGATGACCAAGACCTTATTAAACCTTAGTCCTTTAGGAGTTTAGGTTATTAGATAATTGAGTTTAATTGGAACTTGGAAACCACCGTCCAGGAAATTAATTAGGTTAGTGGGATGGGGTGGTTTATGAATCGGGAGTTTGGGAGACACACGGGTTGTTTAAAGATTTAGAACGAATAAATATTTTGGTAATTTTGTAATTAAAAGAATTATAAAGCTTAGAGATGTGAAGAGACTTAACTACTCAAATAGGTGTGCCACATGCCTTTTAACCTTTGTTTTAAAAATTTTAAATTTCCGACAAAATTAAACCTTAGGCCTAATTACTTGAGTTTAAATTAAAAAAAGAAGCCAACTTACACTATATATAAAGACAAATTTTTGGGCCTATTTTTCCCCTCTATTTTTTCGGGCCTAGGGCGGTCGCCCCTGTTGCACCCGCCAAGGACCGGCCCTGGTTAGTTGTTTTGGGGGTGAAGGTAGTACTATATTAATGTTATTGAGTATTGACATCAACTTGTTTCGTTTGAAAAAATAAGTAATACGGAGTAATAATTATTGGTCAAAAAGGATTGCACACTAGGGGTGGGCAAACGGGTCTTGGAACCGCGGTCCGGTCCGGGTAATGGCGGTTCGGGTCCAAAACGGGCCAGTTCCATTTTTTGTTGCCATAAAACGACCCGGGTAATTTTTTTTTAAGGAACCAGACCGGTTCCAAAATTAAAAAATAACGGGTACCCGGCCCGGCCCGTTATATATATTGTATATTAATTTATTAATAGTTTTGTGATAATCGGTTTTGAAATAGTTTTGTTTCCTTTGCTAGAAGTAGGATTTTAAATTGAGTTGCAGTAACATCCTTTTGTTTTCAAATTATTGATTAAATGTTTCATAAATATCTCATTACTTTTTATTGTTATTGAATTATTCCTTTCTACGGAATTTAATTATTTGTTAAAAAAGAATTTGTTATATTTTTTTAATTACATTGTTCTTAAAATATATAAATTGTGTTTACCACCTACCATGTATGTGTCAACTTTGGCTAATACTGAAAATGTAATATAAAAAAAAGCAATCACTTTAATATGTGATGTTAGACAACATGTTTAAATACAAATGTTAGAAAATATGTATTTTGGCTATGTTGTATATTTTTGGAATTTCTTTAATTATTTGAAACTTATATACATGAAATTATGGAGTATTGAACTTGTCGCTTGTGTTACATGTGCACCACTATGTTGTTATTTTGAAACTTGCTAAATGTCCTATATTATTGATTATTGATTTTTGGAACTTCATGAGTTTTTACTAATTTTAAGACATGAGAATAGAAACCGTAAAACTCAGACCGGACCGACCCATTTTCAATGGGTCGGGTAATTTCCGGTTCCTATTTTGAAAATTGTAATACCCGGACCGGATCGAACCGTACAATGGAACCGGCGGTTCCATTTTATTTTGCATTACCCGCCCCGGCCCGTGCCCAGCCCTATTGCACACTCCCGATCTTGGTAAATTGGTAAAATGGTTATATACCCACTGGAGGAGGTGGGGGACTTAATGGGCCTAGCCCAATGCAATTACTTCGTATAATATAATTGAAAATTGTGGTTCGCAACAAGATAGATATAGATTTCTTACTGACAGTTTGACAATTTTCAATGAAAGTGGTCTTGTTAGTAAAATAGATATAGATTCTCTTATCTACTATCGTACTCCCTCCGTCCCAAAATGGTTGGCCAAATTTCCTTTTTTGGCTGTCCCAAAAAGGTTGGCCATTTCCATTTAAAGTAAAGAATATGTGGCTAAAGTTAATTCTCTCTCCTCTGCACAAATTTTAACCACACAGTTTTTACTTTATTAATCCACGTGCAAGTCAACATTGGCCAACTATTTTGGGACGGAGGGAGTATGAGTTTGCTAAGGTAAAATGGGGTAAAAACAAGTTGCCAACTTAAATGAGTTACCCTATTTATGGCCACCCATTTTTGGGTACCTATAGCAAAGCTCAACGTAAAATACCGTCCAATTCATTTAACATCAAATGGTGCACTATATCTTTAGTAGTAATAATTAGTTGATGTACTTCAATTAATTGTGTTGCTTTTTTAATTTAGATAAAATTACTATTAGCCCAAGTTTATGTCATAATTATTATTGCAACCTTACATTTTCAAAATTCAATTGTTACCCCCTAAGTTTTGGTGATTCTCACTATATGCCCCCTCATGTTAATATTTGTTAAATTAAATATAACTCTTAAATTCAATGTAAGTTGTCTTTATATTAATTCATAAAGTATAGGGATGAGGGTCAGATAGGGCCTCGAACTTGGAAAAAAATGTCAAATAAGACCATATTTAGGATGCTATGTCCGGCTGACGCCATTTGGGGCAGTTCCCGGTGGAATTTTTTGATGATTTTTTTTGAGAATCTTATTCATTAAGTCTAGTTTACTCATATCAAATTGGAACTAAAACTTCAATCGGGAAGGCATTCAAATGAATTCTTAAAGATAACTGCACAGTTATCTTCAATAATTCATTTGAATGCCTTCCCGATTGAAGTTTTAGTTCAAATTTGATATGAGTAAACTAGACTTAATGAATAAGATTCTCAAAAAAAATCATCAAAAAATTCCACCGGGAACTGCCCCAAATGGCGTCGGCCGGACAGAGCATCCTAAATATGGCCTTATTTGACATTTTTTTTCAAGTTTGAGGCTCTATCTGACCCTTATCCCTAAAGTATAATATAATTTATTATCATAATTATAAGTCACTGTTGTTGATCGTTATTTTTCTACTTAGTTACTTGATCGTGGAATAACTATTAATATGAGTAGTTGAGGGGAAGATGCACGAGTAATATTGTTGGGATACATCAAAGAAAGTTATATAAAAATGTGTTGTAAAAATTATAGGCACTTCTTCATCATGAATATAAAAATATTTGAAATTGGTTGAATTATTCTTAATGACATTTGTTTCATGTTTAGCAAAGAAGAAATACCAAGAAAAAGGAATTTCAACATTTCATGACCTAAAAGATATGTCAAGCATCAATAAGCGACCTAAAATATAGAATGTATCGGTATAGGAGTTAAATAATTGAAAGCTATTAATCTAAGACCTAAAATAACATAGATTTTGATTTATTTAATTATTTAAATATTTTATTTACTCTGTTACTAATGTGTGATGATTCTATCTTCACAATTTTTTTTTACAGTAAAGAGTCTATTAGTTTTATAAGATTGAATGATATTTAATTTTCTAAAATAGAAGTATTGAAATTCCTGATATTTTATATCTTACATAGTACTTGTGAGTAGCTAAGTAGAAAAATAATGATCAACAATAATAAATTATAAATATGATAATAATTTTTGTTTTAATTTAAAATTTAATTTTATAAACAATTTTCATTGAATATAAGAGTTATATTAAATTTGATTTAACAAATATTAACGTGAGGGGCAAAGAATGAGAATGATCTAAACTCAGGGGGTAACCAATATATTTTTGAAAATGCAAGGCTGCCTTCGTGATTATGACATAACCTCAGGGGCTAATAGTAATTATTCCTTTAATTTATGAGTGATGATAACTTTTAATGATCCGGCCCACCCTCTTCTATGTCTTGGTTACGCCTCTGAATACACCCAATTCTTAATTGCTTCCATAGTTCCATCACATCTGCCGGAATGTTTACAAAGGACTCATTGATCCGTTAGATGTCAAACATGAAAAGCTGAATCCAATCCAATAACGGCCAACTCTAATCCACATTTGATTTACAACATAGCTTACAACAAGGATTGTAAAATGGAATGTTGAAATCAGGGAAAAGTGTCAAATATGTCCTATGGACATAAAGTCAATTAATCCTCAATACTTTAACTTTCGTCAATTAAATTCTCGATGTAAATTTTGTCAAATCCGATTTTTCGGTAAGTAATCTGCCTGTTAGGAGGTTACCTGTTGACGCTACTTGACATGGCACAGGTAATCCTTTCTCATTCCCTGATCGCTCTTTTTTTCCTTCACGCAGAGGTTGAGCCGCCAGAGATGGAGGAGATCTGGATGGAATTTGAGATTCAGTTCCACCATTGATGAAGAGGGACATTTGTCATTTTCTCTACTTCGTCTCAGTCTTTCTTTTCAGAAGGCATTTGACATTTGCCATTTTCAAAGGGCATTCATTCGATTTCAATGCTACCAAAGTGTGGTGTTCCCTCCAATTTAACTATTTTCTTGGACCAATTTGATCACAGACAACAAATAAAAAAAGTTCCGATTACTGAAAGCCCATAGATACAACTGAGAAAATTAGGAATGAACGCCCATAGATTGTAGATGCATTTTTTTTAAGCTTTTGTTAGACATGGAGTCTTTCTTTTTCCTTAATGACCCCTTAAGGAGACGCACCTTTCCCTTTGGTAACTTGACCACTCTGGTTTTTCGTTCTTCCTTTCGGCTATACCCTACCCCGATCACCGGTTTTCGCACCACTTTTTGTTTGTCCTTTCTTTACAGCATGTTTTTTGCTCCTCTGTTGACGGCTAAATATTTTCAGTTCAATACGGAGTAGGTTTAATATGTATGATCCTATTACAAAACTTAATACTCAGTACTTAGTACTCCGTAGTATCTAAATTTAGTACTGTAATTACAGCATTGTAAAACATTAATAGTCAAGGCGGCTTGACCTCCGTGGAGAAGAGATAAGAGGGAACATGGAAGGAGAAAGGAAAGGAAAAGAAAAGAAAGAAAAGGAAAAGAGAAGAATAAAAAGAAAAGGATAAATGGTGACGTAGGGAGCCATGTGTGCTTTCACTGCTTCGCTTAGCTCACGTTTATGCCGCAGGTAACCTACTAACCACCGGAAGGTTACCTGCCAAAAATTGGATTTGATAAATTTAAATACTTCAAGGATGTAATTGATGAAAGTTAAAGTACAGAGCTTAATTGACTTTCTGTACATATTAGCAGGACATATTTGACACTCTTTCCATTAAAGAATTAGAAGTAGAATGGAACACGCCATACCAACCCATAGAAAACTCAAGAGCGGAAGAAAGGACCCTCATTGGCTGCTTCAACAGTTCAATTTGAACCACTCGCGAAGACAGCAACGAAGCAAGTTTGGAGACAGCGACCATGTCAAACATGGGCAGCTAACAATTCAATAGTGGTAGTGGCCAAGGGTGATCAGGTCGTGGCAAGGGCCGGGGCTCTAACCAATAGCAACTGTCCAATATATTGTGGCATTGGTACACCCAGTAGCAATGAAATCGATTCCAGTGTGCTCCATAAAGTGTAGCACTGCCTCATTCTTATACCAAAACTATACAGTCACGACCAGATGAGCTACCCATGCAGGCATATCACCTTGTTCGTATATGACTGGGCAAGCCAGAATCCTCCACCTTGCGTGGAGCAACTTGGAATCTTTTGGTTCACAGCCTAAGGCATTCAATGAGAAGTCTGGGACTCCAGTCTCCGGTGTCCATACAAAATTGATATCATAGTCAATTATATTCCAAGAAACTACCTGTTCCGACTAAGACTAAAAAAAACACATTTTTCAGATTTGAACTTTCAGTGTGGAACCTAAGTCTTAATATCAATGCTAGTGTAAGTGGATGGTTTGACATTTGATATTTTCCGACCATTGTTTCTGGGAATAAAAGAAACTAAGGATAAAGGACCCAATCAAGAAAAAAATGAAGATAAATGGAAATAAAATCAAACCATATAAATAGATTTATCTTGATGTGCTTTCATTTTTATCTTAAGTTCTGCCATTGTCAAAATTATACCCGCCATTGCTTTGGAAAATGATGACATTAATTTGGGAGAGAATCGAAGGAAACCTGTTTTACATTCTTTGTGGTAATTAAGAAACCAAAAGAAGAAACAGATGTGAAGAAAGAGAAAACCACGAGAGAAAAAATAAAATAAAATGACCATTTTTACAAAATTTGAATTAAACAGTTCTTGAACTTAACTCATTTTCTAAAAGAGGAGAATGACTTTTATTTCACTAATTTATCTCTTTGTTAAGTTTGTAAAAGAAATAATTATATGATAATATGATCAGTTAGATCATGTTCTTCTATATTATTTTTTATCTTCATTTTATTTTCAATCACCTAAATGCATAAATAATTTAAAAAATAAAATTGATCCTCCTCTTCTCTACCCTCCCAAATCCTAAACCAATGGAAACAAGCACAGGCTTCGTATTACAAAAATGGAGTGATGTAGAGATGTTTTTATGTTTAACAGTTTGGCCCACATTAGATACATGCATAGTATGAAGTTACAAATCAAATATTGAGTTACTCCTATGGCTAATCTTTAATGTACACTTCAAATCTTATTAAATTATCCTTGTTGGGCTGGGTATTAATTTTCTTACTACTAGGTCTGCTCTCCCCTATGAGTTAAGATACTAATTACTCCCTCCGTCCCCTTTTAAATGGGACGGGAGAGGGTGGCACGAGTTTTAAGAAAAGTGAGTTTGTGTGGTTGATATTAATTGATAAAGTAAGAATAAAGCAAGAATGATTTTGAGCCACACAAAGTTTACCAAATAAGGTATGGGACAATTAAATAGGGACATCCCAATATGGTAAAACGAGACATTTAAAAGGGGACGGAGGGAGTATTATTATTATTTGACACGAAGAAAAATAGCCACAGTAACAAGAGCAGTTGAGAAGGAAAACCTGCTGAAGTCCTAATGGACCTAAAGGCCGTGGACCTTGCTCAATTTCTTCCCAAAAGTTCTGGTCTTCAGAAAGCCAAAGGATGACAGTATCAGTTAGCCTGACCAAAAGCATAGTTGCAAACCTTTCCCTTCCAATGAACAGTTCTGACGCAATGTTGGCTATTCTTGTCAACTTTTCAAATAGTTCCTGAAGGAAATGCATACAAGAATGAACGGTCAAGAATGGATCACTTAAATAGATATGAACATGATGGAAAATTATTGCAGAACTTTCAATCATTATCTAGAAGGAATTTTTTATACTCAGGCATGGGAAATGAAGATCATAAACTTCGAAAACTGCATTTAGATAGTAACGTATATCTTTGGTCTGTATGTTATCTTAGTCTATAATCTATATTACAAGTTTATATATCACTTTGCAAGGAAAAACATAAAGAAAACCTCCAGCGAGAGAGTTTATGTGAAATGGTAGTGTGTGCTTATCTTCTTCTATAGTGCTGGTTTCGGTAACTTAACATATGTTATACCATATGGTGATATGGAAATTGGGCATCGAAGTGGCTACTAAATCCATGTCTATGCATCAATGTGGATGAACATATAATTACCTGATATATTGGAGAGGGGAACCATTCAGGCTCTTCTCCACTTTCATCCATATTCAGATACATATCTGCATTTAATCGAACCACACCGTCTTCTCCAAAAATAAGTTCAAGCGCATGCTGTCTACAGAAGCTGTCACGTAATTGATCAACTAACCGCTGAAGTCTTCGCTTAAGTTCCCTCTGCTCTGGAATACGCCTTTCAGAGGATCTTTTAGCCGAATCCTCCATTCTGTTTGCCTGCTGTTGATGACAAGGCGAGAGCTTCGTGGCTGCACGTGGGATGAGCTCATCCGCTAACAACAATGCATTGGCTAGCAATGCTGTCTGTTGGGCTTCAGTCTCTGCAATTCTTACAATTCTGTGTCCAGTTCCTTCAATGTTTTCAGTTTCCATCGACCCGGGCAACGCGTTTATCAACATGTTGATATAAACGTTAAATGTTTGTATGATCCCCTCCAAAGCTTGATGAGATAGCCTTAAACTCTCAAGTGGACTAATGTCCTCACATAGTTCCTGGGAAAGCAGCCTAAATAGTTGTGTCACATCATAGTATAGTATAATCAAAGAAAGGGGAAAATACTTATATAGGACTAAAACTCATGAGGATTCCCAAAAGATGATCAAACATGATTATTTCCTAATATACTATGACCAGACACATCAGTACATCACACATACTACGTATGAAACAAAATAACAAAAACAAAACGCGACAGTATGCATACATGTCACCTTTCATCATATTAGGAAAAAAAAGATGAGTCATATTTTTTGAAACATAAGATTTTAGTCATACAAAGGGTGATTTTTCTCTTAAAGAAAGAGTTTGTACAACCATTACTCCCCTCACTCTATTATGGCAAAGGCCTTTCTCGTGCGTATCTTTGATAATTTTCAGTTTTAGTCCTCTTGCTATTACGATATACTCCCTTTGTCCCAATAAAAACTTCGCTTTTGACTGAGCACACATATTAAGATAGTGGGATTTGTGTGGTGGAGAGTTGTGTAGAGGAGAGAGAAATGTGTAAGAATGTGTAAGAATGGTTATGAACAACAAATTCTTTGCCAAAAAGGGAAAGAGGAGATAAATTTGGGACGGACCGAAATGGAAGGAATGAAGATAATTTTGGGACAGAGGGAGTAGATATTTTAGGCAAAGCTTTTGGGAATCTTCAATACTAGTGACACATTCTATAAGAGACTTATAAGCGTCGCAGCACCAGTGGCAGATCCTTGGCTGATTAAGCAGTTCATTATGGAAGGATATTAATTCCCTATAGGCCCATACAATAGATTTCTGATTTATTGTTTGATACTTTCCTTCATTAGACTAGTTAATTGCTTTCTTTAATTAAGTTGATCTGCAACTTTATTGCTTTCCATCACTACATGAGTTTATTTTAAGAATTGATTTTATTTATCATCTCTCCTTACTAGTGTAAGAACCCTTACTATAAGTAGGGACTCTTGCTTTGAGTAATAAAGAAACCAGTAGCGGCGGATGCAGGAATTCCTGATAGGAGGGGCGGTAGTGTAAAAATATACATACTGATACACATATCTATTAAAAGTGTGGCGTAAATATACCTACTAGGAAAAACAAATGGAGGGCAGCGGCCTCCATTTGCCCCCTTTATGTCCGCCACTGGAAACCAGTTGAATACTTATCAAGGAGAAAGAAACTTCATAAAACTCTTGAAGTTTTATCTCTTTCCCTGCCTCCCCTTACTTCCCCAGTATTATATTGCCTGCAAAAATAGAGGAAACACATCTCTCTGCCCTCACCAACCGCCGGTTGACGCGAGCTCTAGCCCGGGAACATAATAACTAGCCATCTCATTATTGTGACAATGCCATTTTTACCAAATGCTTTGAAAATATTAAACACTTGGAAGACGAAAATATGAAACACTTGGGAACATAACTTTTGAAAATACTTTTCCATTTCTCTAACTTGTTTATATTTTAAAATTATGAATGGTATACATTTTTTGTATATAGATGGTGCATGGCACTTTTTTGCGCCTTGCGAATTTGAGCACTCTAACGCCTTGTCACCTTGAGTGCACCTCACGACTTTGAGTACCTTGCTTGTACCTAATGATTTCTCCTTGCTAGGCTAGTGTGTTCGACACATGTATTTTTCTTGTTTTAATTGAGTGATCTCAACCCAATCTTGAATCCTATCTTATTCTCTAATTTTACATAGTAGTAGTAAATTTTTATCATACGTAGTATTAAAATTCGATTTTTGAAATTCAATTGAACTTTTTTTTTGAAAGGGCAATTCAATTGAACTTATAGCTTAGTTTCTAAAATATTTAGATTTTAATTATTCATAGTTATGCTAACTCGGTCCGATAATTAATTTTTCATTTGAATCAAACTTTGTTAACTTTGACTATTAATTACTAAAAAATATACTCTGTATTATATTATTTATAAAAATGAATATACTTTCAAATAAATAGTATAAATATACTTGGTATATCATTGAAATATCATTTCTTACACATTTTATAAGAATATAACTTTAAGTAATCAAAGTCGAACGACTCAAACCTCACCCAAGTTTGACCTTAAAAGTCAAAATGACAAGTTAGTTTTGGGGGAGTATATGTTATGAGAGATAATTTAACTCTATTATTGCATGACTTAGTGAATGAAAACCTGAATGAGAGTAACAATGTAACGTCTTGAATCTTTTGGTTAGGCCAATAATCACCTGAACCATTGTGTTGAATTTATGAGCACTGGTGGAGAGCTTAGGCTGGGAGATCATCGCGCCAAGAGGCGCAGCTCCCAAAGAGCGCGATCCCATAGGCGAATGAACCAGTAGCCAATCATCCGCAGCAGCAAGCGCCGCCGTACACTGCTCAATCCTTTTCAGATTAGCCGTCAACGCTTGTTCCACACACGGCCTGAAGTATTTCAACAGGACCGGCGAAAGCGATAACCCGCGAGCTTCCAAAAGCGAGCAATGCCCTAAACAGATCTGGACACACTCGGCGACGGCTCTCAGGCCGCCAGAGGCGGCCGGAGAAGCCAGAACGTGTCTCCTGATGAGCTGAGCGTAAGCCTCGGTCTGATTCACCGACCACGTCACTAGCTCAGAGGAGTACGCCGGTTCATCGTCGAATATGGCTAAGGAATCGCTCGCTCCTTGCGCGATTGTGGAGAAAACAAGGTGCGAAAGAGCCGCCGTGTACGCCACTCCGTGCGAGGCGGCGGAGGGGTGAAGCGATTGAGTGTTACTCTTCAGCTTCTGCTGGTGAGATGTGAGGAGGAGCGTGTGCGCGCGGGGGCCATCTCCGAGGCGTTTCAGCGCCATTACAGCAGATCTGAGCTCATAGCCGCTGATCGAGGCCTGACACGCGGCATCTGCCAATTGGTCCGCTAACTTCTGTCTCTGTTCGAAAATGGCGGTCTGCAAGGACTGTAAATCAGCTGGGGGTAACGTTTGGCGATCTCTCGCCTCCTTGGCCACGCTTTCTCCTTCGTCTAATGCGTCCAATGCTTCATCCACGCGCCTCTCTGCCAACAACACTTCAAGCGACTCCATGAATTCTACTCTCCATTTGTCTATCTTCGTAGGCTCCCTTGCTTCAAAGCTCAGGATTTCCTCTTTCGATAAGCCTTCTGGTGGAGCCAGGTAGTTAAGATTTGTGCCTTCTGCTAATCCTTGGATTATAGAAGCCCGGTTGGAAAGGTGGTTTCTCAACGCAATGAGTTGCCCTTCAAGATCAGAAATTTCTCTTGATGTGCTGTGAATACAAGACAAGACAATGAAATTTTCGAATATGCATCCATATATAATGATAAGGATGTACGGACCCGGTCCAGTTTGGTTGAATTTTTTTGATATTTTTAAGCATGTATAAATTTCTCTTGAGCATCCGGGAATTATTTTCTTATCTTTGCAAGCCATTATATCATATATCTCACCTTTCACAAAGATAAAATTTTGCAAAGATAAGAAAATAACTTGGAATAGCAGGTCATTAACCGGTCAGGGACCAGCAGGGGCGGAGCCAGAAAAATGACTCAGCGGGGTCGAAATCAAATTTACATAGAATCAAAACGGTAGATTATTTTTAGACAATACCTGAATTGAATGTAGCTTAGATAAATGATACTCCGTAGTTTAAATGAAACTAATATAGTATATGTAGTTAATATACTTCGTATATGTCACATATATTATAAACTTGTTTTATACGGGTTGAGTTGGGTACCTCAAATGAGACTCATTGTCTTACCCTAGTACTCTATGGTTCTCTTCGATCTTACTCGGTTTAGTATCAAGATTTCTTACTAGAAAAGAATCATTTATTGAGTAGACACTCGTAGTAGTAAGATATGTTGTCTTTGCTTTGTCCCTAAGTCATGTCACGTAAGTAACGAGTGAATTACACGTTATTTTGTGAATATAATTAATATTACGCATCACAATTTACTAATTTCAAACTTAAATAGTGCTGATTTTGCAGAAGTCGTAACTGTTTACTCGTAATGAGTTACGAGAGCCATAATATATCAAATCGAAGATATTTCAAAGCTCTACATTCTTAAATTTTCAGCGGGGTCGGCTGACCACCCTGACCCCCTAGTAGCTCCGCCCCTGGGGACCAGCGAATGAAGATTTGGTGCAAAGGTTAGATTATTCTTGAGTAACAAAAAGGTGGAACTATTGTAAGAAAACTGCTAAAAGGTTGGATTATTAGTTTCCATTTTCCTTAGTTTATATAACCATTTAGCTTATATTAGACCATTATGGTCGGGATCGGGAAATTGTAATCGAATTAAAAAATAAAAATTAACAATTAAATAAGTTTGAAATCATTTTGTTATCAAAATCATACCGGATAAAAGCAGAATAATTAGCATAAACACTTTTCCGCATTTCCTCTGCAGAAGCCTTCTTTAAATCGACGAGGTAATGTAATAAGTGTCTGGTTTCCTGCTTATGGAGATACAACAGTGGATTATGTTTCTTATAATTACAAGTTGGCATTCAATCAATATTATTATATATATATAAAAGAGGAACTTTTTAAGAGCATACGGCGCGCCACGTAATCATGCCATGTCATCATATATAATTATTATTTAATTACTTTCTATATCTTTTATTTTCTTTTCACTATTACGTTTTGTATACCATCTAATTTGGTAACTCTTATTTACATAAATCTGATTTAGTAAACTTTTAGTAAACTTTTGTATATATTGATTTTTTAGTATTACGTTTCTATATTCTAATTTGGTAACTCTTACGGAGTATGTATTTACATAAAATCTGATTTTATTATAGTAAAATTTTAGTAAACTTTTTGAATATATTGATTTTTTAGTATTACGTTTCTATATTCTAATTTGGTAACTTACGGAGTATTTACATAAAATCTGATTTTATTATAGTAAACTTTTAGTAAACTTTTTGTATATATTGATTTTTTAGTATTACGTTTCTATATTCTATAAACTTTTAGTATATTTTATGTTTCTAAATTTAGAATTAGAAACATAAAAACTACCTATAGTGCATATGTAGGCTATTATAAATATACAAAGACAATGTAAATAAAAGTGTATTTTCACTATTGGCTTTCTCCTTAGTTTGAAGAATTCTATTGCTTAGTGTTCTTATATCAAGAATGTCATCACAGTAAGTTTCTACAACATTTTTAATGATATATTATTCAATACTACGTACAGATGATACTTTACCATTCACATGTTTATGATACATGATATTAATATGCATTATACCTGATTAATTAATATTCATCTTTTTTTCATTTTTGAAAGTTTTTTTTTAAAATAGACAAGTTGAAGTTTTGTTTTCAAAAAGAGACCTATGCGTTTACGCCTAGACATTGACTCCGTAGTCCGTTCCTACTTAATCCGTAATATTCAGGTATCTTAATTACAAACTGCACCAAGAGCTCTTATCAACGGATCCATTTGGCACCTGGATGTCGACTCATCACATCCACTCCCTTACCTAATACGAAGTATTAGTGTTACGCACTTTCATTTTTTAGACAAATTAAAAACTAACAATTAAAAGCAATAATAATAATAATAATAATATTAAGTGAGTTACCGTTCAAGCTTCTTTTTTTACTCGGTATATTGGCTTAGAACTTTAGACAACTTTTTTTTGAAAGGATTAGTTTAGAGAACTTATGATAAATGTCCAATTGAGAAAAGTGTTTTGAAATTTTAAAAACTATACTTTGAAACATTTTCAATGTGACTGAAGAATGAGTAAAATCATTTGAATTTGTAACTATTAGAATTAATTAAAAAAATTATTATACATACCATTCAGACAGAACTTAATCGGTTTGAGCATAATCAGTCAATTCGATCAATTTTATTGATATCAAACGGGCTCTATATTAAATTGAAGGGTTCCTTACTATTTTCTATTAAGTACAGTCTGTATTAAGACATATGTGTAGGTTAAGATGTATATCGGGATAAAATGATATTTGTATATGAGGTTTTAAATTTGTATGCTAAATAAACAGTCTGAACCAAGTCAAATAATCAATTTAGTATTTTTCTTAGATGATAGTGTCAATGAAAAACTTCATTTACTAATATAAATTAATTCCATAACCAATTTTTTTTTAAAAAAAACACATTTTAAAATAGCTAAAATACGTACTGCCCGTGCATCGCACGGGCTTGAAAACTAGTATAATCAATATATATATATATATATATATACTTCGTATAAGAGAAACTTTTTAAGAGCATACAAAGCGCCACGTAATCCTGTCATGTCATTATATAAAACAATTATTTACTTATTTTTATACCTTTTGTTTTTATTAGATTCCATTTTTGATTGCATATTGATATGGAAACAAAAATCCTTAGAAATCCACCTTAATTAATTTTATAAGCTTCAAATAAGTAAAATAATTTTTGGTTATCAAAGTGAAATTCTAATAACGGTTATTGATATGGAAACTAATTTATATTAGTTTATTAAAACGAATTAAATAGAAACAAATATGCAAATTAGTTTACTTAATAATTTGACACCTATTAATAAATTAGTAAGCTTCAAATAAGTAAATAATTAAAAATGAAATTAAAAATTATAACCAACATAAAGTATATATATTTTCACAAGTAAATACGTTTAGCCTAGCCAAATAAGTAAATTTTTTGGGTTGTTTCTTTATTTTACACCTAAAATTTAAATATGCCTTCACTTTCGAAATAGATTCCTAATCCAAATTAGAAAATCTTTATAGGTTTACAAATTCCTACTTTTATTTTAATAGAATGTTTTTAATTTGATTGATTTCAGTTCCAGATTAAATCAGATAAGATCAAACTTTAATAATTATAACAATAATTCACATAAAAAATAGACATCTAATAGACCATATTAATTCATACCAAATCAAACCCGAAATTTTAATTCAATTAAAAACGTTCTTATTAATGAGTAAACTGTAAGATCTAACAATTAAGAAATATAGAATTTTTTTATTATTGGATTCATAACAATTATGTTTACTTGAGATGCTTATGTAGAAGACCATTTTAACTTTTTTTTCATATATTTTTTTTTTGTTTCACAAATGGAATATATTTCACATATATTTTTCATGATTTAGGAGATTCCACCTATTTAACCAGAATTCAACCAATTTCAGCAAAATAAGTTAATTCTATTTACTTTAGTATTATCAAACAGACTCTATATTAGACTAAGTTTATTTTTCTTTTAAATCACATTATATTTGATCCGATAGAAATTAAATTTCAAATTAACTAAATTACATACTGGCCGTGCATCGCACGGGCTTGAAAGCTAGTAATATACATTATAAAAAAATACGGAATTCACAATGATTTTTTTTGCAGGGATAAGGGATTCATCAAATTTCATAAAGATTTGACAGATATACTACTTCCAAATCCGTGCTAAAAAACAGAGGAAACAGAGGATAAGGAAATCCGTGCCAACAATTTGAAATTTCATTAAAATTTCAAATTCGTGCCAAAAAACACTTTGATACGAACTACTTTTTTAGCATGAAACCATCGATCAATCCGTGTCAAATTTGCATCAATCACGTAATTTTTTTTGTAGTGATATATGCGACAACATTGTAGTCTTTAGAGATGGATGAGAAAAGCAGAAAAATGGCAAAACAATATTCGCAGCATTGCGGAACTAAACCTTTTCGCTCATGGTTCGACATCTTCCGGAGACATAAGAATCAGGATTGAAGCTCGAAGATTTGAAGGCTTTAAGCTTGTCACTTAGAGTCAATTCCGCTTCGAAGTCTGTTGAATCTCCTTTGCTTGATGAGAACGATTCCTTAAACTCCATCTTCAATCTGCTGTGTCGATCAATCTCAACTGTTAAATGATAAAATCTATGAATGTTGCATCGGTTTTAATTCGGGGATGTTGTTGCTTCTTGTTTTAGTTACGTGTTGTGATTGAAGGATGTCCAGTGGAGAAGTAATGTGAGCTTAACATGAGGAAAAATAAATGCCTAAAGACAAGCTCAACTACTACAATTTGTAGATGTGAAATTAAGGTTACAAAATAAAAGGTATTTTGTCATAACAAAATTACTATTAATGTTCATCCTTACATGTAGGGGAGATGAAAATACAGGCTATGCATTTAGGATGACTTTTTAAATTAAGTGTGCTGTGTAGAGTATTCTCATCCATAATTTTTCACGGGATTAAATAACCGACTCATGTATTGCACGAATAATGAATGATATAGATCGAATTGTTATTCTTTATGTTTGTAATTTTAACTAATTTTATTTATTGTTGTTTGGGAATTCACACACTTTTGGTGTAATATTTTATTTTTTCTAGTTGTTTGTAATTAGTTTAGATTAGGAATATTCTGAACTTAAACCAAGTAATTAAAGATCATCAAAAGGATCTTTGAAAGGTCAAAGAAAGTGTAAGGCAACAAAATAAAGTGAAGATTTGAGAAATTAGTCATATACCCGGTCAGGTATAGCATATACCTGGTTGGATATGGACTTGAGACGATTACCAAATCTGATTTGAGAGACAAGTCAGACAACTAAATATGCAAGGTGAAGATTTAACAAGATTTGTCGTATACCCAATTGGGTAAACCGACATACCCGATCAGGTATGATGTGATTTATTAAGGTTCCAATCAATTACTAAGGATATCCGATCGGGTATCATATATACTCAGTCGGGTATCTGATCTTCTCGCCTCCAAACACCTATAAATACACTTATACACCTCTTTTCCGTCCCAATTAATCACCAATTCATCATTGTTGGGTAAATGGCCCCGAGCAGGGGTCCGGCCCAATTACCCCCAAACCGACGTACGTCGCCCAGCCCACGGATGGCCCTGGCCTGAAGGAATGAGGACGAATGTCTATCTCCGGGATAACAGCACAAGGTCCCGGCCGAGGGTCGGTTAGCACATCCATGACGAACGTCGTCAGCCGAGGCCCATCTCCGTAGATGGCCCAGGCCCAAAAGATTGTTACGTTCTCAGGAAGGGCCGCAGACGAACGGCCCCTGGTTCTACCAGACGATCGTGGTCAGGAATTAGGCGGGGAACCCAGATTCTGGCGGGAAGCGCATTTAATGCTGGAGATTTGGTGGTTGGGCCACAGCCACTAACAATCCTCCACATCATCAGGACTAACTGCCCATTGGCGGGTATAAATAGAAGCATTTATGTGACACCGCACCCGAACGTCCTTGAAAATTCGATTTAAAAATTCAAAAGTGATGTATTGAATTTCCGATTTCAAAGCAATGGGAGAAACGATTAATAAATTACGAAGTACGCGATTGAATATTGTATTGTTCAAACCCGTATTCTTTTATAATTTTCATCATGTAAATTATTGGGATGATCCTACACATATTGGAGATCAATAATGTGATTTAGGAAGTTGACTTGTTCTAAATAAATTAGGATGAGTGCAAAAAGACATCTTTTGACAAAGATAAAACAATAGGACCCATTTCCCCCATTTTTGGAAGTATTGGTAGATAATTTGGACCCCAAATTAATTGGGATCAATTGGGAACCACTCCACATGATTATAGTACCTGCAAAACAAGAAAAATAAGTGAGGAGACTTACCTTGGCCGCACAAGCTGGAGGAGGGCTGCACAAGACTTGATTGGAATCAACCTTGAGACCCACCTTGTCTATTTCCGCACAAATCATGGGTGTGTTTTGTCTCCCTTCATTATGAGAGTTGTACTCGTCCAAATGGGGTGTATAAGGTGTCTTTGGATAGCTTTTGAAGTCTATTTTCATATTTGAGTGGCCACAGTTCGAGAGGAGAGAGCAATCATCCAAAAATCGATCTGGAACGAGCAGAGGTCTGTGAACTCGAGCTGTGAGAGTGCTGAGACTGTTTGGTCGATATCTCGAGTTTTACAAATCCAATTAAGGCGTGTGAGATACCCACAGAAAGCTCTCAAGACGAGGAATCCGTGAAGGTCTGGTTTGCAGGAATCGGAGTTGTGGAAGACTTCCAAATCGTCCGAGAAAAACGCAACCTCGCAGGAGAGGATCTAATCCTCTAAAGTGAGTTTTAAACCCCAAAGCTTTACTTTTCATTCTCCAAATGATATGAACGATTGGTGAGACTATTATACACTAATCCAAGTGTATAATATGTCCTTATAAAGTTATTTTATTGATGTAAAGGTTAGATACTAACCTAGATGCAAATATTGGAAAACTAGGAATCGAGTTAGCCGGAAAACACCCGTTCTAGGGGCTGTTTTCGTATCAACGATTAAGGGTTGAACTAGCACTTGAGGAGGCTGTTTAACACTCATATTTGAGCAAGGAATCAGTTCCAAATCCACCTTGACCAAAGCTTTGACCATTGGACCAAGAAGGGAAAGTTTAAAGCTCAATTGAGGTGAGGATTGACATCTAATTGCTTACAACTTGTAGGTTAAGCATGAGATTACCTAAATGCTTAAATCATGATTTTTCATGGATTATGATGATTATATATTGATGAAATACTGATATAGTTGCCAAGGAATGAAAGTTGAAATGATTTGAGAAGGTATGAATAATATGAGATTAAATGAGTATAAATGAACTATTTGCGAAAATGGGCATTTTGCTCATGTATGAATTATGTGGATACACAAATAAATATTTGTGTATTGAGATTGAATACTTAAGTTGCTGCTACATAATTATAAATATGTAGAGAAGTACAAATAATGAGGATAATGGTATGATAACAATAATCTTAATAGTATTGAAATACTAGTTAGTGATTATTGGAACTTGTTGATTAAATTGATCCTAGGGATTGGATTGTATGAAAGGTACTTGAATATAGTTCAAGTGTATATAATAACTTAGTTTGGAACTAAGGTTAAGTTATGGGAAGTCTTTAAGGATGACCCAAAGTAGTTAATGATATGTCAATTCTAGGCATAGGGTTGCTTGAGAATTGGACCTTAATGCATGGTGATGTAATAGAGCCGAGCTCTAGAATGCATGTAAGGTGTAGACTTGGAGTCTATGTATTGTATAGCTAGAGCCGAGCTCTAGGACTTGCGTGGTGATGTAATAGAGCCGAGCTCTAGAACGCAAGGTAAGGAAATTGACCCGAGGTATATGAATTGTATGGTGATGTAGTAGAGCCGAGCTCTAGAATACAATGTCATGTACTAGGGTTGGACTCTAGGAGTTGTCGTGGCTTATAGCCACGGGGTTGGGAATGGTGATTTCCAAATGAAAATGGGCCCACGGGCCGACTACTTGACTTTTATATAAAGTAAGTATATTTTTAAACGGGGTAACTTAGGGTTACAATCATAATGTACTATCACCCTATTTGAGGGTCTTGTGTTTGAAATACTTGTTGTATATCTATTAGATGCCTGCCACACCAGTACTTTATAGCCGTATAGAGTACTGACCCCTTCGGGGGCGTCCCACCACCATTTCAGGTTGAGGCTAGAGCTTGCATCCTGTGCTCGTTGATCGAGTGATTCCTCGGAGAGAAGACTTGGTTCGTGCTTCCTCCATTCTATTTGAAACATTAATAAATTTGCTCATGGATATTTTATTATAGAGCCTGCGTGCTCATGAATAGCCCGGTGTGGCTCTTTCGTTTTAAACAATGTTTTCCGCTGCTTATTGAATTACTTATTATGTTGTTTATGGATGACTTATGTGTGAATGATATTCATGACGCCTTGTATAATATGAATGTGTTGGATTGCGATTGACTATTCGTATTGTACGGCGGGTTGTTGACGTGTCCGGGGAGGTCCGGGGCGTGACAATTAAGTTGGTATCAGAGCCTTAGTCCATAAACTTCATAATGAAGTCTCAAAATTCTCTTTTTGAAAAGATTTTGAAAACCATGAGCATAGAAGTTTTGTACTTGGAGAACTTTTGGTACTTGGGTTGCAAGGTCTCTAATTGTTAAGATGGTACCCTTAGCAATTGGTATGGCGGTGACTCGAGCCAAAATGTGTCTTAAGTACCTATCCGTCAATTGACATTTGATACGAGTCTAACGACTCCTTCCAAATTTCTTTCAGAAATGGACCGTGGTGGCAGGATTACTAGGAGAAACCCGACTGGCCGTGTACCAGTGGAGACTGGACAGGGCAGTCGAAGGACCTCTAGGGCATCTAGAGGAGCTGGCCGTGGAGGCCGATCACAGACCGTGAGTGACGGTCATGTCGACACGGAAAGTGAGACCTACTGGTCCTATGAGGACTCGACTTACCAACCGGAGACAGAGCCGGTTGACACCCCTTATGAAGGGGATGATGACGATGTAAGTGATGAGGAGGGAAATGGCTCCTTAGCACGGATCGAAGCACTACTCCAACAATACCACCGGGAGCGTGAAGAGAGGAGGCAACGCCGAAGACGCCGAGTGGGGCAACCTTCGGGCATGGCTTCAAGAGGAGGGAGTCATGGTGCATCTAGAGTCCATGTGGAACCACATGGAGGCCAAAGTGATGGAGGTCCAACCATAAGGATCTCCAAATTTATCAAAGAAGCAAGAGATTTGGGGTGCAAACCCTTTGATGGAGCAGGGGACATTTCAGTCGCAGCACAATGGATCAAGAGGCTAAATGAAGCAGCCCTTGACATGCAAATCGCGCCGAGTCTCAAACTGAGAATTGCGGTAAGATTGCTCGAGGGGATGGCATCCAAGTGGTGGGATGGAACCAAGAGCAAGTACGGTGAGACCGTCGTTTGGGAGGACTTCCAACGGGAGTTCTTTGCCCAATATTATTCTGATTTTGAAGTGAACAAGAAGGTGAGGGAATACACCCTCCTAACCCAAGGGGGGTAACATGACAGTGAAGGAACTTGAGTACAAGTTCCGGGATCTCGCCGACTACATACCGGAGTATGCTTGTGACGAGAACCGAATGGTAAACCACTTTTGGGATGCTCTTGACTTGGAGATACGTGATAGGGCAACACAATTGCCTAATATGACCTTCGCCCAAGTGGTTGACCAAGCGTTGAAGGGGGAGAAACAGTGGGAGGAGAGGAAGAAGAGAGACGCCGAGGAGGCGAAAAAGAGAAAATGGGAGAGTCATGGCTCCCAAGGTTCCAACAAAAAGGGGAACCATGGAGGAGGATCTTTCCGGGCACCGCCGCCACCGTCTAGGGGGAACCAAGGCCCGAGTGGGCAAGGCGCGAGGTCACAAACCTCAGTGGTAGCTCGTTGCAACAATTGCAAGAAGAACCACTCCGGTAAATGTCGCGACCCCCCTAGATGTTTTCAATGCGGGGATGCCGGGCATTTGAAGGCACATTGTCCACAATTGAGTGGGGCAAGGACATCGGGACCGAGCAGTGGCCCGACGGGTACACGGAATCAAACCGGAGCTTCTCAAGCGAGCCGGGGACATGGGGGAGCGAGTGCGAGCAACGCGCCATCCGTGAATCAAGGAAGAACTCAAGCTAGAGTTTATGCGATGACGGAGGCGGATGCTCGAGCTAACCCGGACTCGGTTGCAGGTATTGCCTCTTGCACAATTGTATTTTGTCCATAGTTAATCCATAAATTGATGACATAAGTCATAGGGATTGAGTGCGAGCCATTACGGGGTCAAACGGCGAAATTCGGGCCAGAACTGACCAAAAACAGGGACGCACGATCGTGCGTCCAACCCCACGCACGATCGTGCGTAGGGGGCAGTGGTTCCGGGTGATGTTCGCGCAGGACGCACGACCGTGCGTGCCGGTACGCACGCCGTGCGTGGACGCACGATCGTGCGTGTCCGGGTACGCACGACCGTGCGTAACCGGCAGTAGCCGGAAGCGAATTTTCCATGCACGCACGACCGTGCGTGTCCCACGCACGACCGTGCGTGGACCCCAGCCGCCCGAAACCTAAGTTTTTCCTCTCGTTCTTCTACGATTGGACCCCCGTTTGATTCCGAACATCTATATGAACCTATTAACCTCCAAAAAGTGTCCTAAACCATTAGAAAAGGTATCTTACATGGTGTATAAATGTAGGAACATTAAAGATTAACGGGAAGGATGCACGAATCCTTATCGATACCGGAGCGCAACGTTCATTCGTGAGTGAGGCGTTTGCCGAGAGCTTAGAGATGCAATCAATACCAATGACACAAACCTTAGTGGTATCAACCCCACTAGGGGAAGACGTTGAAAGAAACAATTACTATCCATCTTGTATGGTGGAAATCGGTGGCCAAACCTTGACGTGTGATTTCGTACCGCTGAGTATGATGGAGTTCGATGCAATCCTAGGGATGGATTGGCTAGAAAAGCATCATGCTAGGGTAGATTGCTACACAAAGGTGTTGGAACTCGAAGGCACACAGGGGGACACCCTACGCTTCGAGGGGGACCGCGGCAAATCAAATAGTTGTATCATATCCGCCGTGAGAGCGAGAAATATGATGAGGAAGGGATGCCACACATATCTAGCATACGTGGTTGACAAAACCAAAGAGGAAACGAACGTTGATGATGTGAGGGTGGTTTGTAAGTATCCGGATGTCTTCCCTAAAGACCTACCGGGGCTTCCACCTGACAGAGAGATTGAATTTGTGATCGAGGTCGAGCCTGGTACCAAACCAATCTCCATACCGCCATACCGGATGGCACCCGCTGAACTTAACGAGTTGAAAACCCAATTGCAAGAGCTTTTGGATAACGGTTTCATTAGACCAAGCCACTCCCCGTGGGGAGCACCGGTTCTTTTTGTGAAAAAGAAAGATGGGACACTTCGAATGTGCATTGACTATCGTCAACTGAACAAGGTCACGATCAAGAATAGGTATCCGTTGCCTAGGATTGATGACTTGTTTGATCAACTACGAGGAGCAACCGTGTTTTCGAAGATTGACTTGAGGTCGGGGTACCATCAATTGAAGATTAAGGAAGATGACATACCAAAGAGTGCTTTCCGCACAAGGTATGGGCATTTTGAGTTCCTTGTTATGTCGTTTGGGTTAACAAACGCCCCGGCGGCATTCATGGACTTGATGAACCGAGTATTCCATAAATACTTGGATCGATTCGTGATTGTGTTCATAGATGACATCTTGATTTACTCAAAGAGTGAAGAAGAGCATGAGGAGCACTTGATACTTGTTCTTGAAACACTACGGGAGAAGCAACTCTATGCCAAATTTTCTAAATGTGAATTTTGGCTAAAGGAGATTGGCTTCCTCGGGCACGTGGTTTCGGGATCGGGGGTTGCTGTTGATAACAAGAAGATTGAAGCCATTACTGAATGGGAGAGGCCAAAGAACGTCAAGGAAATTCGTAGTTTCCTTGGATTGGCAGGCTACTATAGAAAGTTCGTGGAGAAGTTCTCTGTTTTGGCATCGCCATTGACGAAGCTCACTCGTAAAGGAGCTAAGTTTGTATGGGATGACAAATGTGAGAAAGGGTTCATGGAACTAAAGAAGAGATTGACCGAGGCACCGGTACTTGCATTACCCAAACAAGGTGTGGGGTACGATGTCTATAGCGATGCGAGCATCCAAGGGCTCGGATGTGTACTGATGCAGAATGGGAGGGTAATCGCCTATGCTTCACGACAATTGAAGAAGCATGAGGTGAATTATCCTACTCATGATTTGGAGCTCGGGGCAGTGGTATTTGCACTGAAGATATGGAGACATTATCTCTACGGGGAGACATGTCACATATACACCGATCACAAGAGCTTGAAGTACGTGTTTACTCAGAAAGAGCTAAACATGAGACAGAGACGGTGGATGGAGCTGATAAAAGACTACCATCTAGTGATAGAGTATCACCCAGGCAAGGCAAACGTGGTGGCAGATGCTTTGAGCCGGAAGAGCTCGTCTGGGGCATTGATAACTAATTTGAGGGCATTAAGAGCCCAACTGGAGGTAACCAGCGATGGTGCCTTATTGGCACGATTTGAGGTAAGACCCACTTTACTTGATGAGATCAAGAAGGGTCAGGAAGCCGACGAAGAACTTATGAAGGTCCGGGAACGCATGCAAGCGGGGCCGGTGGAGGATTTCAGGGAAAGAGATGATGGTCTCTTGTTATTTCGTGACCGAGTGTGTGTACCGTCAGATGATGAGCTCCGAAAGTCCATCTTAGAGGAGGCTCATTCATCGGCTTATGCCATGCACCCGGGGGGCACGAAAATGTACCGTGATTTGAAGGAAAGTTACTGGTGGTCTGGAATGAAGAGGGAAATAGCCGAGTACATCAGTCGGTGCCTTACTTGTCAACAAGTTAAGGCAGAACATCAGCACCCAGCAGGCTTATTGCAACCACTCTCCATCCCTGAATGGAAGTGGGAGCACGTGACTATGGATTTCGTGGTAGGCTTACCACGGACTATCAGGAACTATGACGCGGTTTGGATCGTTGTGGATAGGCTCACAAAGAGTGCACACTTCTTGCCTATCAACACTACCTATCCACTTGAGAGGTTAGCCAAATTGTATACGGATGAGATCGTGAGGCTGCATGGGGTCCCGGTGACCATTGTATCTGATAGAGACCCACGATTCACATCACGTTTTTGGCCGAAATTCCAGGAGTCTATGGGAACGAAGTTGAAGTTCAGCACTGCTTTCCATCCACAGACGGATGGGCAGTCTGAAAGGGTTATACAGATCCTAGAAGACATGCTGAGGGCTTGTGCATTGGAGTTCCAGGGGAGTTGGGACAACCACTTAGCACTTGTGGAGTTTGCCTATAACAACAGTTATCAGGCAAGCATCGGCGTGCCTCCATACGAGGCATTGTATGGGAGGAGGTGCCGTACACCGTTATGCTGGGACGAGGTTGGCATGGCCAAACTCGAGGGTACTGAGTTGGTGGAGGTCACCAAATCAAAGGTGAAGTTAATTCGAGAGAGACTCAAGGCGGCTCAGGATAGACAAAAGAGTTATGCAGATAAGCGTCGAAGAACCTTAGAGTTTAAGGTTGATGACGAGGTATTCTTGAAAGTTTCTCCTTGGAAAGGGATCATTCGGTTCCAAACCCGAGGAAAACTTAACCCACGATATATAGGTCCATTCAGAATTATAGAGAGGATTGGGGCCGTTGCATATCGTCTACAATTGACTCCTGAGTTAGAGAAGATACATAATGTGTTTCATGTATCCATGCTTAAGAAGTACGTGCATGATCCCTCTCACGTATTGGAGAAGCCACCTGTAGAGGTACGTGAGGATTTGAACTACGCTGTTCAACCTATCAAAGTCACCGATAGAAAGGTGAAGAAGCTGAGGAGCAAAGAAGTCCCAATGGTTAAAGTCCTGTGGAAGAGCGATCGGGTCGAGGAAGAGACATGGGAAACGGAGGCTTTGATGAGGAAGCAGTATGCTTTCCTATTCGAGTAGAGCTGTGAATTTCGGGGACGAAATTCCTGTTAAGGGGGGGTGAACTTGTGACACCGCACCCGAACGTCCTTGAAAATTCGATTTAAAAATTCAAAAGTGATGTATTGAATTTCCGATTTCAAAGCAATGGGAGAAACGATTAATAAATTACGAAGTACGCGATTGAATATTGTATTGTTCAAACCCGTATTCTTTTATAATTTTCATCATGTAAATTATTGGGATGATCCTACACATATTGGAGATCAATAATGTGATTTAGGAAGTTGACTTGTTCTAAATAAATTAGGATGAGTGCAAAAAGACATCTTTTGACAAAGATAAAACAATAGGACCCATTTCCCCCATTTTTGGAAGTATTGGTAGATAATTTGGACCCCAAATTAATTGGGATCAATTGGGAACCACTCCACATGATTATAGTACCTGCAAAACAAGAAAAATAAGTGAGGAGACTTACCTTGGCCGCACAAGCTGGAGGAGGGCTGCACAAGACTTGATTGGAATCAACCTTGAGACCCACCTTGTCTATTTCCGCACAAATCATGGGTGTGTTTTGTCTCCCTTCATTATGAGAGTTGTACTCGTCCAAATGGGGTGTATAAGGTGTCTTTGGATAGCTTTTGAAGTCTATTTTCATATTTGAGTGGCCACAGTTCGAGAGGAGAGAGCAATCATCCAAAAATCGATCTGGAACGAGCAGAGGTCTGTGAACTCGAGCTGTGAGAGTGCTGAGACTGTTTGGTCGATATCTCGAGTTTTACAAATCCAATTAAGGCGTGTGAGATACCCACAGAAAGCTCTCAAGACGAGGAATCCGTGAAGGTCTGGTTTGCAGGAATCGGAGTTGTGGAAGACTTCCAAATCGTCCGAGAAAAACGCAACCTCGCAGGAGAGGATCTAATCCTCTAAAGTGAGTTTTAAACCCCAAAGCTTTACTTTTCATTCTCCAAATGATATGAACGATTGGTGAGACTATTATACACTAATCCAAGTGTATAATATGTCCTTATAAAGTTATTTTATTGATGTAAAGGTTAGATACTAACCTAGATGCAAATATTGGAAAACTAGGAATCGAGTTAGCCGGAAAACACCCGTTCTAGGGGCTGTTTTCGTATCAACGATTAAGGGTTGAACTAGCACTTGAGGAGGCTGTTTAACACTCATATTTGAGCAAGGAATCAGTTCCAAATCCACCTTGACCAAAGCTTTGACCATTGGACCAAGAAGGGAAAGTTTAAAGCTCAATTGAGGTGAGGATTGACATCTAATTGCTTACAACTTGTAGGTTAAGCATGAGATTACCTAAATGCTTAAATCATGATTTTTCATGGATTATGATGATTATATATTGATGAAATACTGATATAGTTGCCAAGGAATGAAAGTTGAAATGATTTGAGAAGGTATGAATAATATGAGATTAAATGAGTATAAATGAACTATTTGCGAAAATGGGCATTTTGCTCATGTATGAATTATGTGGATACACAAATAAATATTTGTGTATTGAGATTGAATACTTAAGTTGCTGCTACATAATTATAAATATGTAGAGAAGTACAAATAATGAGGATAATGGTATGATAACAATAATCTTAATAGTATTGAAATACTAGTTAGTGATTATTGGAACTTGTTGATTAAATTGATCCTAGGGATTGGATTGTATGAAAGGTACTTGAATATAGTTCAAGTGTATATAATAACTTAGTTTGGAACTAAGGTTAAGTTATGGGAAGTCTTTAAGGATGACCCAAAGTAGTTAATGATATGTCAATTCTAGGCATAGGGTTGCTTGAGAATTGGACCTTAATGCATGGTGATGTAATAGAGCCGAGCTCTAGAATGCATGTAAGGTGTAGACTTGGAGTCTATGTATTGTATAGCTAGAGCCGAGCTCTAGGACTTGCGTGGTGATGTAATAGAGCCGAGCTCTAGAACGCAAGGTAAGGAAATTGACCCGAGGTATATGAATTGTATGGTGATGTAGTAGAGCCGAGCTCTAGAATACAATGTCATGTACTAGGGTTGGACTCTAGGAGTTGTCGTGGCTTATAGCCACGGGGTTGGGAATGGTGATTTCCAAATGAAAATGGGCCCACGGGCCGACTACTTGACTTTTATATAAAGTAAGTATATTTTTAAACGGGGTAACTTAGGGTTACAATCATAATGTACTATCACCCTATTTGAGGGTCTTGTGTTTGAAATACTTGTTGTATATCTATTAGATGCCTGCCACACCAGTACTTTATAGCCGTATAGAGTACTGACCCCTTCGGGGGCGTCCCACCACCATTTCAGGTTGAGGCTAGAGCTTGCATCCTGTGCTCGTTGATCGAGTGATTCCTCGGAGAGAAGACTTGGTTCGTGCTTCCTCCATTCTATTTGAAACATTAATAAATTTGCTCATGGATATTTTATTATAGAGCCTGCGTGCTCATGAATAGCCCGGTGTGGCTCTTTCGTTTTAAACAATGTTTTCCGCTGCTTATTGAATTACTTATTATGTTGTTTATGGATGACTTATGTGTGAATGATATTCATGACGCCTTGTATAATATGAATGTGTTGGATTGCGATTGACTATTCGTATTGTACGGCGGGTTGTTGACGTGTCCGGGGAGGTCCGGGGCGTGACAATTTATTTCATTGTAAAGGGTTGGCAACTTTCTATTCTTAGCATACTAGCTTCGGCATTCTTACTCGCAGCATCTCTAACTGCCTTGTAGGACGAACGGCCGACGTGCCTTTTTTAGCAAGTAGATTGTACTTAGGGGAGTTATTACGAAGTTAATAATACCTATTTACATTGCCTGCTATTACTTTTGTTTCCTGATCCATCTGATAGTTGTTGGGCTAGATATTCTTACACTTACTCCACTCGAAATCTTTGGGCTTACGTGTTGGGTCCAAGGGTTGAAGGAATAGACCTCAACAATCATATATACCTCTAAGCTCGGTTAGACGAGTATTTTCTTTATATTTCTGTAGTATGTTTAGTCTTCAAATGAGGATCTAAACCCTTCCATCTTGGTTTTGTCACTTTGAATTAAGCTTGTGTTTTGTAAGTTGTGTGTTATTTTCTTAAATTATCTTTGATTGAGTATTGATTACATTCTTATTTTATATCTCATATTCATATTTGAGCATTACTTAAAAGATCAACTAGTTTTGTTTCATATATTACTTATTACTAGAACCGATCGACAAATACGATTGTTATTCGCTGAGTCCTTTCAACGATAGTAAACTTGGATTATTAATGCATGTGTCTATCGTAGCTTTCCTAAAAGCCTTACGAGCGTCCTTTTTTGGACCAACAAGTAGGTTCGTGCAAGTGTTTCTGTCTCCATGGCATATGACTACATGGTCTACTATATGACACCTAAGTTTTCTACAAAAGATTAAGAATGTTTAATTGGATTGAAACTTTCTAATCTTGTTTGATCTGATCTGATCTAGTTTAAACTAGCGTTTTGTCTGGACGTTGTCCGGACGGATTATGAGAATGTTCGAATACTTTGTAAAATATACATGGAATATATAAATAAGTCATCATTTTACTTTAGATAAACATTTGGTTGTTGTGGACCAATTATAGTGAACATATTACAAAGTGACATTGTAATGTAATACCACATACAACAAACATCACATTGCTAGATTTTGGGAATCCTCCTTATAAACCACGTTCACCGTCATGGTGAAGAAATTTGTTTGTTTTAAACATATAAGTATATTAAGATGTCTTTGCTCATTGCTTTTGGTACTGCAATGTAAAATTGGCCATTATTAAAATTTATCTCTCAAGGTATAAACCAAATTTTATGTGATAACATTTAGCCTTCATTATTAGTGATTGTCATTGCAAAACTTGTCATTGCAAAACTTGTCATCACAATATATTACTGATAAAGTATTAATTCTAGAGAGAAGTGAGAGCTAGAGAGAGAAAGTGAGTAATTATATTTCTCAACTCCCTATAACTAGCCCCAAGGGGTCTATTTATAGGTAAAAATGTGGATTTGGGCTCCTAGCCATGGGCTTAGGAGGCCCATTACAATAATCATGCCTCCTTTGGGCGAAATAAGGCCACTAATGGGCTGAGTACAATACTTAATAAATAAAGTAGAGAGATGTATTCTGCCAGGACGAAGTCTGGCCGATGCGGTGCCTTTTGGCCGATGCGGTCCCATGGCCGATGCGGTCCATGGGCCGACGTGGCCCCGGAAGCCCAGGTGTGCTTTCTGGGCCGATTTGGTTCCTGGCCGATGCGGACCCACTGGCCGAAGGGGGCCACGTGGATGTTCTTCTGGTTATTGTTGACTTGAGTATGTGGGCCATGGGGTCCAGGCCCATATACTCTATCAATTACCTTCTTTGTCTAAAATAATGATGAATAAAATATTATTTATGAAATTAGAGGTGAATTAAAAGTATTTACTAGTAACTCAAATACTCAATTGTCGACTTGCGCTTGAAATCTGAAACAAAGAAGCATAGCCGCAAATGGAAGCTAGTAAGGCTCTGTTTGTAAGTGATTGTGCTTAAATAAAAGCACTTTTTGGAAAAAAGTGATTAGTATTAAAAGTTGGTAGTATTGGTAAAATAAGTGCTTTTTGTGTAATAGAAAAAGTAAAAAGTAGATTATACACGAAAACCGAGAAAGTAAAAGTTGGTTGTTTGGTAAAATAAGTGCTTTTTTATTTTTTAAAAAAGCCAAAAGCACTTAAATTAATTGTTTGCAAACAAAGCCAATTGTATATCAAGGAAAGGTGGGATCTACAATTAAAAAAAGGATTCTCTTTTTAAAATTGATATAACTTTTTTATTTCAGATAATCCAATATTTACAAAAAAAAATCGAAGTTCACAACTTTTTAATATTTTTCATAGGGAAAATAATTATTACCCCTTGAGGTTAGGTGATAATTATTAAATCAATCTTATATTTTTTTGAACTGAATCATTTACCCCTTAAGTTTTTATTAAAGTTAGAGTGTCCCCTTTTGTTAATTTTAAGTTGCTTGGACCATTAATTATAAGCGGAATTCCCAAAAATGTCCTTAGCTTATCTATTAAACTAAACTAAGGAGTGGTGTAAAATAAGAGTACATCAACTAAAAGTTTCGCAGGCTTACTCCAAAAGTATTCGAACAAAAAATAAATGTTTTCCCAAGCATCATTGCAGCACACTTGAAAGTGCTCTATGCCTTTCCGTTCTTCTTTTCTGCTCCAATTTCAATTCCCAGCCGCAGTCCCATTCGTACATCAAAGGAAAATACGCTTGGCTGTGTATTTGAAGTAGGAGTGGGCAAAAATACCGAACCGGCATGGTGTCAAACCAGACCGATATGGTACCGGACTGAAAAACGGAACTTGAAAGGGATCTCAATTTTTTTGTCGCGAATCAGACCGTGCCGGTTCTAAACAATGTCATGACCGGTTAAAATTTGTACTACTATAGTTTATCTGAAATCTAATAATTATGTAATACGGAGTATGGAAATTGATAAATTATGTGTATTTGTATGGGATGACTAAACTTTAACTTCCACTTACACACTTAGAAAAGCGACATTATTTGGTATTAGTATAATATGGTATCGTCCCGTTTGAAAATAGAACCGTACTGAACGGGTTTAAGTCTAAGATTGAACCAAACGGTTTCAATAGTCACGATACGGGTACGAGTTCGGCAAAATACTAGAGTGGACCGGACCCCCTAATTTGAAAAGAAATACGTAGATGAGAGGATTTAACAAATACTCCCCAAACAAGGGTATTTTAGCCAAAGAAATAGGCATTTGATGAAAATGTTGATAGAAGGGGAAGATTACATCATTAATCGTAGCTGAGTGAGTAAATAGTTGACTTTTAAAAATAAAAGTTGAACTAATAATTATGACTAAACTAGAATGATTATCACCTAACCTCAAGGGGTAACAATTATTTTTCCTTTTTTTTTTACGTATGCCGCAAAATTTCACCTTTCTTCCGGCAACATCATTGTTTACCATCATACTTCGTATACGGCGGTGTGATGTAAAGACCACAAATGATACAGTAGTCGATCTCTTTTGAGTTTTGAGAGGCGCATACGTCATCCTTTACGCCAACATACTCCCTACTGCATATTCTAATACCGAAATACTAATACGCGTAGTACTTCATACGTATCCGGAGTTTTATTTTCCGGCCTTCAGAGTAAAAACGATGTTAAATTATAAGCCAATGCTATCGTTATTGTGAATTGTAACATTAATATTTTGCTATATAAATGTCTAATAATGCCAAAATATGATAATATGATTTCAAAATGACAATAATACTCACTATTATGCGAAATTATTTTACTCATATTATAAAATTTCAAATTTTTTTACTTTCTATTTTTAGAAAATTTCTCTTATTTATTGAGCCGAAGTTGATTATATCGAAAGACCTAGCTCTCATATTATATATTTATAGAAAAAGAATTCCGATCCTAAATAGGATGAAAGTTAAATAACGCATAGTTCTTAAAGAGAAATGTCAATGTATTATTTTCAAAATCGTTCATTTCTATTTTGATAAGTATTCACTATTTAGTATTTAATTTTATTTAAAAAGACTAAATAAATTAACCTTATTTTGTGAAGAATATGTTTAGTCTTGCTTTAGAGCTTGTCCGTATATTTTACTCCTATACTCCGTATTTAACAATCTCTTTATACGGAGTATTATATATAGAGGTCTTATTCTCCAATGTTTTGTACATCTTATTTTTCGCTGGCTTGGCCAAAATCGAAGCAAAAACAAATAAAGAAATTTCGTAGAATAGATAGCGTGGAACTAAATTCCTCAGCTATCTAAAAATGGCCGATAATGGAGATTTGTATTTTTTTTGGACCATAATAGTGGAATTCATAGCAGCATTTCTACAGATTGTTGCGGCATTGTATCAACATACATCTCTGGTAAGGTATGTAAATTACTTCTGTAAGTGGTTTGTATGTTTTGCTTCTTTTTTAAGAGTATAAGCAAAATCAGAATCAGTTTTTCAGAAGTTGGTCTCCACAACTTCTAAAACACTGTTTATATGAGTAATTTGGAGCACCCAGAAGTACTTCTGCATTGTCATCCAATTACTCCAATATCCCCCGAAAGAGTAGAAACAGTTTTAAGAAGCAGATTCAAACATCCCTAGATACGATCGAGAAAAAATGCATCAAGATGTTCTTCACTTTGAATTTTGGATTATTAGGAGGAAGATGACATTGGGAGTTCTGATGCTTGTGGTGCGGCAGTACATTTGAATGTGTTCACCGTGGTTCTTTTGGTTATCGTAGCCGGGTTAGTGGTGGGGGTTCGTTGGTTTGTTACACAGTCGGATCGTGCCGCCTACCGGACTCCTCATCCGGACCACCAGGACCCCAACCTAATGAAAAAATACGCCATCGCGTTTTTGGTAATTTCGTGGTATGTTTATTCCCATGCCATCTCTCAATTTGAACCTATGCAATAATGCAATCTTATTCGTACAATCGTACCATTCGTACGTACTAGTATTTTATTTTTAAAAAAATGTATCCAAGTCCAAATATATATTGCCAAATTATAGTGTCGTTATTTGATCATTTGAACTCTATGTTTTTTTTATTAAAGATATCTAATCTAAAAACATTATAATTGTGAATATAGGTTAATATCCTTGATTTGTGTCAATGCCTTGTTGTGCACATAAGCTTGTACGTTCTTATTAAAATGTAGTACTAATATCTCTTAAGGACTACAATAACCTTACACCGTTAAAAAAAATTAACGGCGCCAAGTCACAACTAACAATCTA